TTGGGGGGGGGGGGCGATTATGGCAGTGATGTACATGAGGAGTACATAGAGATTAGGAAGGAAAGTAGGTCATTTCAAAGGAGAAAGTTGTTGTTGATACTAAAGATGTACCATGTGGTGATGCTGGGCCAGATATTGGTTTTGATGAGACTGAAATAGGTAAAAAAAGTGTAGAAGGCAGGCTAGGTGGTGATGAGTCATATTATCCAAGTTCTGATGCTTGTAGCTTTGAAACTGATGAAGATGAATGTTGGGATGAAGATGGGGAAGACAAGAAGGTAAAGCTAACAAAAAGGAGATCCAAATCTACAAAGAGTGTGAAGTTTGATAAAACATGTAAAAAGATTGTATGGCAGCTGGGTATGATCTTTGAGAGTGTTGATGACTTTAGAGATGTATTAACTAGGTATGCACTACAAAAAAGAGTTCTGATTGAAAAGTATGTAATTGAGCCAACAAGAGTCAGGATGAGGTGCACCAAGGATAACTGCAATTGGCTTTTGTTTGCAAGCTTGGATAGTGTAAGTAATAATTTTGTTATAAGGACTTACAATCCAGTTCACAAGTGTAAGACGGCCTCCAGAAATTATTTGTACAATTCTAAATTCTTGGCCAAGGTCTTCAAAGATAGAATAATTGAACAACCAAATATAAGAGTCTTCAAGTTGCAAGAATTAATTAGGAAGAAATTCAAAGTTCATGTTGATAAGACCACAGCCAGGAGAGCAAGAGCTAAAGTACTGCAGCAAATAATGGGTGATCATAAAGTGGAGTTTGGTAGAATTCTTGATTACAGGGATGAGTTGTTAAGGACTAACCCTAGGAGCACTTGTATTGTGAATCTTGGTAAACCGGATGAACTTGGTAGGCTAGTGTTTGTAAGTTTTTACATCTGTTTTGAGGCATTAAAAATGCACTCTTGTGGTGTAGAAAATGCATAGGATTGGATGGTTGTTTCCTGAAGGGTGTAAGTAGGGGGCAACTACTAGTTATTGTGGCTAAGGATGGTAATAACCAAATGCTTCCACTTGCTTGGGCTGTAGTAGAATATGAGAAGAAAAGTACATGGTCATGGTTCTTAACTTTGTTGAAGGAAGACTTGGGATTGGGTGATGGCACAGGCTTCACTATGATCACTAACATGCAAAAGGTATATTTCATGTCATAAGCAATTTTGTGTTTCATTAGCTTCACTTTCCTTCTTTAAAACTGACTTATGTTTCATTTTTTATGTTTCATGAAACTGTAATTTACATGGCTTGGATTCAGCAATTAAAAGCTTGTGAACAAAGGATGTATACTAGGCACACCTTAGCTAATTGGTCAAAGAAATGGAGAGGCCTCCAAAGGAGGAACTTATTCTGGAAGTGTGTCAGAAGCACTTATAAAGCTGAATTTAAAAAAAAATCTGAAAACACTGTCAATGCTTGGTAAGAACATAGTGGATGATCTACTATACTATGACAAAGAGTATTGGTGCAAGGTGTATTTTAACTATGAAGTCAAGTGTGATATAGTGGATAATAACATGTCAGAGAGTTTTAATTCCTGGATCTTGGCAGCAAGGCACAAGATTATTATTAGCATGCTTGAAGAGATTAGAATCAAGATGATGACAAGAATAGGCAAGCTAAGGGCATTTGCAAACACATGGAGCAGCAACATCTCTCCAATGGCCTTAAAGATATTGGAGGACAATATTAAAAAATCAATGACATGTACCATTGAGTTTAATGGACAAACAGGATATGAAGTAATAGATGATGGTAAACAACATACTGTGTGCCTTAGAAAGAAGGTTTGTAGTTGCAGATCTTGGATGCTAAAGGGGATACCATGTCCACATGCTATATGTGCAATGTATTATGATAATGTTGAACCGACTTCATTGATAGCTGCTACAACAAAGAGACATACTTGTTAACTTATTCTAATTTCATTCAACCAGTGAGTAATATGCCAATGTGGCCTGAATAACCCTTTTGTTTCACCACCGTTGTCAAAAGCATGCCTGGTAGACCAAAAA